CCAGCCGCACTGCTACCAGCAGCCTCGGACTCGTCCATCACCGACGTAGCTCGTCCGCCCGACGTCCTGTCTGCCGCGTCTGTCTGCAAGCGTGATGCCGTGCTTCCGACTGTCGGTCCGCTGCTCGAGCTCGCGCCCTGCTCAGCCTGTGAGTCGCCCGAAGCCGCTCCCGCTGCCGCCGCCTTTTTCTTCTTCTCTTCCTCGGCCTGCTTGCGCTGCTGCTCTTCATGCTCGAGCAGGCTGAGGCGCATCGCCTCCATGACCATGGCCTCCTCCATATCTTCGCCCGCCCCCATGCGCATGAGACGCGCCAGTTCCGGAAGTCCCTCTCCGGCACCGCGGCTCGGGCGGCTGCTGCGCCTGCGCGAAGTAGTGACTGATCCGGTGCCCGGCCAGTTCTGTCCGTCGTTGAGAATGATGCTGCCGCCCGGTCCGTTGAGATTGATCCTGCCGCTCTCTGCTGCTGCGGCCAGGTCGGCGCCCATGCGCGAGGACGAGATGCCGATCGGGATGAGACGGTCGCCCACCTGGCGCATGATCACGCGCCGATTCGCCCGTCGCGCCACCGCTGCTTCGGCCTGGGCGAGCTTGTAGTGCCAGTCGGGTCGCACCTGGTCGACGGTGATGACGCTCGGATCGTCTGCGGCGAGGATCCTCTTCTTGCTTGCGCCGAGGCTGCCTACACCGCCGTTGCCGATGGCCATCTCGGCGAAGTTGGTGGCGTCTGTCGCGTCGTTGGGGCTGTCGCTTCCACTGCCGCTGCCGCTACCGCTGCGTCGTCCTTCGTGCTGCAGCGCCTCCGGAGGCGTGTACGTCACGCCAAAGTTGGGCTCGACGCAAAAGGGGCATGACCTGGGCTCGGACGAAGGAGGATTGGTCGAGGTCGGGTCGGCTCGCTTCATCTGAACAAAGCACTCGGTGCAGATGGGCTGGTGGCAGCAGCGCGAAAAGTTGAGCGGAGCCGGATAGTAGAGGAAGCAGATCGGACACTCGCTGTTGAAATCGGCGTCGGCGTATTCGTCGTCGTCATCGCTGCCCTTGCAGAACGGCGCGAGGCGACGCTCGACGATGTGCTGGCGGACAAAGTGCTGGTCGTAGTCCTGAGGGCCGGTGTAGACGCCGTGAGGGACGAGGCCGCCCTCGTCGACCTTGACCGTGTCGGCCAAATGGGCGGGTAGCGGTGGGGGCGGCGGCGGGCTGAGGCTGGATGCGGACAGCGAGGCGACCAAGTTGGCAGAGGCCGAGGCGGACATGCCGCGAGAGGAGGATCGGGCATGGCCCGACGCGGCGCCGGCCTCTTTGGTCTGCTGTTGACCCATGGCGCTGAGATTTGGGCGGGTGAGGTCGACCGCGACGAAAGTGGCGATGTCGGTGCGAGAACTAGATGAAAAGACGGCTCATCCGGTGTGCACGTCCAGCAAGGCCACGCAGTGCAAAAGAAGGAGGACGCGAGGCGACTCGGTCCTGTTCCGAAGAGAGGAGTAAGAATGCCAGCGGGGCGAACGATCCGTTCGGATGCGCCGATCAATTGCTGAGTGTGACGCTGCAAGCGCGACCGAGCACTGAGCTGGTCTGGCTGAGTCCGAAGCGGGTCAGAGGTTTGCGGGCGCTCGAGTCGAGGTGGATGAGCGTGTCCCAGCGCTGTCGCTGAGAGAGCGGTGCCGACGCAGATGGCAGCTGTGCACGTCGGATATGCTTGAAATGCGGTGGCAGCTGTTGAGCGTGCCTAGTGTTGCGGACGATGCAAAGACGATCGCTGCTCCGAATGACCTTGCGTATGGTCGCGGTGATGCAGACTTGGGAGGCTCGTGACTCGTCGTGGGTGTCGTGGCAGGTCGGAGAGGTTAATGCTCGTCGACGTGGGACGCAACCGGCACGAATGATCACGTCTGCTCCAAGCGCACGGTGGCAAGGTTTGGAGACGAGCAAGATGGAGGGAAGAAGGAGGTGTGGAATGGATGGAGGTGGATAGCGTCGATGGAGTCGGCGGGGGTGAGATTTGCACGCAGGCGCAAAGCGGAGATGGAATGCGGACTTGGAGGCTGACGTCGCAGACCGACCAGCGCGCCAAATCGCGGGCAGGAGAGCGGGTCAGCGAGTGGGCACGCCAGACTCAGGGTCAGAGACCGGTGGAGCAACTGAGCCGGAGCGGCCAACGATTCGAGATTACGGAGGAGCAGCGGTGCAGCCGTGCAGCGGGAGCGGTCCAAAAGGGGCCAGCCGAGCCTGAGGTTGAGGCATGAGGCGCAGCCAGGCCAGTCAGCCGCGCGCAGGATTCCATCATCCGACGCCGTGATGTGATGGCTCGGGCCATCGGCATCCAACGCGCGCGCTCTCACTCACACTCGCGCGACCCACCAAACCAAGCAAAATCAAAATCAAAATCAGAAAAGACACCCGCATCCGACTGCACACTCCTTTGCCGATTGTTGTCCCAGCAGCCCATTGCTTGCAATGTCACACACCACCACGTATGCAAGTACATGGCTGTACCCCTCAGTGTATTGTGTCCCCCTTGGATGCAAAGGCAGGCAGGTACGTGGGCGGGGTGGGATAGGGTGGGGTAAGCAGAGGTGGGTGGGTTGGAAAAGAAGACATGCCGGCAACTCAAGCGTGAAAAATTAGATCGAGCGAGGCGATCGGCATAAGCGAGGCGGGGCTGGGGGTCCAATCGGCAATTTATGGCCGCTGGCAAAGCAAATCACCTGGATCAACAAAGGGGAGACGACTCGCCTTGGTGAGCTGACGCGCGGAAGCGGCTGCCGAGCGCTTCCCTCCCTTTGTTGCGGACCTGCTCGCCCGGCGCTGTCGCATGTAGCGAGTGCTGTCACACGAGCAGCGGCTGTATAAACGTTCCGAACCCGATGAGTCGGTCGGGACCCTGCTCAGCGTTCCAACTGAGATTGGCTTTTTCGCCCCTGAATCTTGCTGCGTTGTCGAGACTTGCTCATCTGGCAAAAAGTGCAAGGGTTTGTATCGTCTGCGAAATGATCGGCACCGCCTATTTGCTGGAAGCTCAGATCGAGAGGGTGGCGGTGGAGCCCCCGGGTTCCAGCGCCAAACGCTTCTAAAAATCGCAACACGGCGGCGTGTGTAAGACGTTTGCTGGCCATCTTGCTGTGACGAGCGCCAGCCAGAGACCAGCGTATCCTCGGCGACATCTCGGTGATGGGTTGGATCCCGAGGTCAAGCCGCCATGGGCCGCATGGCTCCCTGGACGCCCGCCCGCACAAAGCGGTCGAGAGCGCCGATGGTCGGCCAGATGAAGTTGCGATCTGACACTGGACGAATTTGACGGTCGGCTGTGCCACCTGCAGACGCTGCAGCAGAGCGAGTCGCCTCTGTAATCACGTCTGCAGCTGTCTGTAATGGTGTGCTTTGAAGCGACTGCGCCCTGTTGGACTGGGTTTGTATTGGTTGTATTGGCAGGAGCTGCAAAGTTCTGCAAAATTCAGCGGGTGGGTTGCGGGCTCCGCCAGCTGGAAACAGGCGGAGATGTGGGAAATCAATGGACAAGGCACGCGCGAGGGGCGCAGCGCATCGACGTGCAGGCGCTCGCCAGTGGGGTGCGCGGGTAGCGGACCTCGAGAATCGAGACGGCCTAGGGAAGACAAGAGGGTCAAAGTGCGGGTGCACCCTGGCACCTCGCCCGTTTTTTGAGGGCTCGCCGCACAGAGCCTTGAGCGGCCGAAGGGGTGTGGACCGATAGCTCAACTTGCTTTGAACTTGCTCGCCTGCAGTAGTGCTGGCTCGCTCGCGGTGAAGCGCCGCGCTGCGCTGGCTTGCCCAACTGCGGCTAAGTCTGCCCCGCTCATCCCCCCACTCTCTCCACTGACCTAGAATGGAAAGCAAGGGAGAGCAGTGCAAGTTGGTGTTCTCTCGTCTGTGGGCTTTGAGGCCTGTCTTGAATTGCATCGGCGGCGTATCGCCTTTTCTGGCGGTTGGCTGCGCCTGGCTAGGAGCGAGTGTGTGAGAGTGTGGACGCGTGCGTGGGCTGGACTAGGCTGGGCTGGGCTGGGCTGGGCCTGGAGAGAGTGAAGCCCGTCCGGTGGCTCTCTGCTCGCCGAAGCCCGCGCGCGCGTCTCTCCCCTGCGGCGCCAGTGCAGGCGCCCATTTCGGCTCGTCCGCTGGATCGCATGGCAGCGGCCATTGGGCGCAACGCAGCCACCGCGACACCACCATCCAATCTCTCTTTCTATCTTTCTCTCTCCTCTTCACCTATCCGCCACCTGCTGCTGCTGCTCTCTGCACCTGCATCCTTGTCCAGCATCTGCTCCGCATCTGCACCGTCCATCCGCTCCGGTTAGCCAACGGGTCTCGTGCAGCGCAATCACCCTCAGCCCCATCATCGGACGACGCAGTCTCGGACGCAGCCCGTCTCTCCAGCATTGTTCGATTCGATATTGCGAGGCACAAGCCAATCCCATCGCCCCACGCTTCCACTTTGAACGCTGCCTCTATCGCTACAGCTCGCGCCTCGGAAGCCTGTCACGCCTCCGATCCACGGCATCCTCAACCAACCGCATTCTTCGCTGTTGCTCCCGCGTTCCACCTAAAGAATTGGTAACGCACACACAACACCAGCATACACAATCATGTAAGTATGACCTCTACCTGCTTCCATCGGCTGGGACGATCGCGAATCTGTCAATCATCTGTGGAAGGAACCGGCCACGACACGCTTTCGGAAGGCATTCAGCACAAGCTCGACCCATCTTTGGCGCTTGGACGTAGATATCTGGATGGATGGATGGATGCATGCATGCAGATACTGCTGTCGGCTGCCACAGTGACTGGACATCTTCCAGGCAGGCGACATGTCGATCGACAATCGCTCGGCAAGGGCGACTCGGTGGAGGATCCTGGCTTGTGTCTTCATTGATGGCCCAATGCTTGTCTGCATTCCGATGCGGTCGAGACTCGGACGTTCCGCGACAAATGCTGCAGATCTGACCGTCCCAATGTCTTGCTACGCTTGCTGCCGCATCTACAGAAAGACGCCATGCAGACCATCAAGTGCGTCGTCGTCGGAGACGGTGCGGTCGGTAAGACCTGCCTGTTGATCTCGTACACCACCAACAAGTTCCCGTCCGAGTACGTGCCCACGGTGTTCGACAACTACGCCGTGACGGTGATGATCGGCGAGGACCCGTACACGCTGGGACTCTTCGATACCGCGGGCCAGGAGGACTACGACCGACTGCGACCGCTGTCGTACCCGCAGACGGACGTGTTCCTGGTGTGCTTCTCGGTCACCTCGCCAGCGTCGTTCGAGAACGTCAAGGAGAAGTGGTTCCCCGAGGTGCACCACCACTGCCCCGGTGTGCCGTGCCTGATTGTAGGCACGCAGGTGGATCTGCGCGACGACCACGCGGTGATCGAGAAGCTGGCGCGATCCAAGCAGCGTCCCGTGCCGTTCGAGGCGGGCGAGCGCTTGGCGAGAGAGCTGGGCGCGGTCAAGTACGTCGAGTGCTCGGCGCTGACGCAGAAGGGATTGAAAAACGTGTTTGACGAGGCGATCGTCGCGGCACTCGAGCCACCTGTCATCCGCAAGAAGTCCAAGTGCGCCATCCTCTAGGCTCGCCATACCCGTTCGCAATCCATTGGCACCCGCGCGACGCTCGGTGCTTCTCTCGACCGCCTTTCCTTCCCTCTTCCATGCGTTTTTGTTCATCTTCAAGGTCGGGGAGGTGGAGGCGCTTCTGCGACCGCGGTCGAATCTCGCCTTGCGGATGGCAATCGGCCTGCCCGACTCTCGAACCCACGGCCGCTGGCTGCACCCACCTTGTCTCCGGCCCTTTTCGTCGCTTTCCATTTACACGTTGTCGTTCTTGCCCATCTGCGCCTTGTGCCGTGTCAGTCGAGTGTCTGCGCCCTCACGATGTACGAAATCTCATGCAATCAGCCCACGCGGAATGAGTGTGTCTCCGGGTGGAGTCTGCCGAAGCACGGTTGTCTTGTGCCTTTGGCATGACGACCTCTTGGCGCTTGGCCCCACTGGTCTGGACTGTGGCGCGTTCAAGCTCGAAAGTAAGAGATCGACTTTATATCTGGCGTGAGAATGAGGCGACGCCATCGTATCATACTGTAGCTGAGATGCGGCACATGAGGCGGTATCGCTGCCATCCAACGTGGGCCGAGAGCGGAGGGGCGACTTGGCCGGCGAATTTCCGGGCGACTGTCGAGTGGGGACTGTGCTTTGCTATCGCTTGCGCAAAATGCGGAAATGCGTGTGGCTCCTGAGAAAAAGACGCGCATGGGCAAAGGCGCGGTTAGCGTGGATGGTGTGCGCTCGGATCGGCTGCCTCCGACCCGCCGCTCCACACGGCTCTCGCATTCGGCAATCCACCCGGGGCGCAGGTATAAGGAGGCATGGGTTAGCTCGTTGGCCATCCGACCTTCTCGTCCCTCAAGCAACATCGATACTTGGCCCACACTTGATCGTCATGAAGCTCACAGCGCCCCTCACGACGTGGCTGGCTCTGGCGCTCGGCCTGGCGGCGCTCAACACCGCCGCCGTCGCGGTCCCCACCTCGAGCGCAGAGCCGACGGCAGATGCAACGACTGGGCGTGTTGAGCATCACATCAGCGCAGAGCGCCTTACGCACTCGACTCCACGCCGCATGGACGGGTTCCAGCGCATGCTCGAGCGACGATACGCCAAGCAGCAGCAACGTATCCAGGCAAGCATCGCCGTCCAAGACAAGGCCAACTCGGGCAATGCGCTCTTCGGCCAGGTGCTGAGTGCGGTGCGAGGTGGACTGTCCTCCCAGCAGGGCGTTGGATCCGCGCTGTCCAAGTACGTCGATTACCTTGTGGCCGATGTGGCGCCTTCGGTGGCTTCGCACAACATCTCGGAGCCGGCCTATCACACGCAGCCGCTCGACCACTTCGACAACACGACGCAGGCGCAGTTCCAGCAGCGCTTCTTCTACTCTACGCGGCACTACAAGCCCGCTTCGGCGCGCAAGCACGGCGAGGCGGTCCCAATCTATATCCTGGATAGTGGTGAGGCGGATGCCAGGGCGCGCATCCCCTTTCTCGACACGGGCATCCTCGATATCCTCTCCGAGGCCACCGGCGGGATCGGCATCGTGCTCGAGCACAGGTACTACGGCACGTCGCTACCCAACCGCACCGAGCTCGGACCGGGCGAGGCGTGGGGTGTGGATCAGCTGCGCTGGCTCACCAACAAGCAGGCACTGGAAGACTCGGCCGACTTCATCCGCCACCTCAACATTCCCGGTACCGACAACGCCGAGAAGCGCAAGGTGATCTACTACGGCGGCAGCTATCCGGGAGCGCGATCGGCACACATGCGGCTGCTGTATCCGGAGCTCGTGCACGGTGCGATCGCATCGAGTGCGGTCGTGGCGGCAGTGGACGAGTTCCCCGAGTACTTTTACCCCATCGCACGCGGCGCACCCACCAACTGCAGCCAGGCGATCCAGGCTGCCATTGCGGGCATCGATGAGATTGTTGCGCCCAACCCGCTCACCGGTGGCGACCAGCCCGACCGCGATGCGGACCGCACCAACAAGCTGCTGGAGCTCTTTGGCCTGCAGGGGCTGAGCGACCTGGGCGACCTGGCGAACCTCAACACCTATCCGCTCGGGGCGTTCCAGAGCCTCAACTGGGATCCGGCGGTGTCGTCGACCGAGTTTGGCGCGTACTGTCATGTGCTCACCACGTACGGTGCCAACGGCACGTACCCGGCTGGGTCCGAGAGCGAGCGTATGGCTGGCAAGGGGCTCGATGTACCGCGCGAGGTGCATGCGCTGGCGCACTACATGCGCACCAACTACATTGATCCCTGTGTGCGTGGCGAAGATGGCGAGCCCGGCTCGACGCCCGACGAATGCTTTGCCACCGACTTTGATGCCTTTGCCAACGCCAAGAAGCTCGATGCAGGTCGCGCATGGACATTCCAGTACTGCTCGACGTGGGGGTACATCATGACTGCGCCTCCTGTGCCGCGGTATGTGCCGACACCGGATGGCAAGAGCAAGCACTTTGTCTCGTCCGGCCCCAAGCTCGTTTCGACGCTGTTGGACTATGCGTATGCGCACGAGATCTGCGAGCGCGGCTTTCCCAAGGGCGACCATTTCGAGATGCCCGCCCGACCGGACATCGACGAGGTCAATCGACTCGGCAACTTTGCGCTCGCCGTAGACAGGCTGGCGTTTGTCGATGGACAGTACGATCCCTGGAGACCCGCAACGGTGCATTCCGAGGAATTTGCCGCCGGTGGCAATCGCGCCGATACAGTCACACGGCCGTTCAAGCTCATCCCGGACTGCTGGCACCACTGCGACGAGAACGGAGTCAAGGACGAATCCAAGACGCCCGAACGCGTGCGCCTCGTCCACAAGCAGCAGGTCGAATTCGTCAAGGCCTGGCTCAAGCACGATTGACGCCGTCGCCCCAGCTTGCCGCGTCTTCATAATCCCGTGCGCTAGACATGCATGTCGATGAAACCGAAATGACAGTGAATTGCAGCTGATGATTGCCCGGGAGAAAATGTGATACAAGAGTGTGAAACGCGGATGAGACTATGACCTCCTCTTCTTGGGCGGGGTCTGATGCTCCTCCTCCTCATCCTCGTCGTCGTCCATGTCGTCGTCGTCTTCGTCGTTGCTGTGCATGGTCATGTCGTCCATCTCGAGCTCCTCATCGTCGGAGCCGCTGAAAGCGGGCTCGCTCTCGTCGTCGTCGTCGTCGTCTTCGTCGTCGCTGCTGGCGGTGGGATCGAGGTGCTTCTTGAGACCCTTCATCTTCCTGGTCTGCAGGCCGGAGAGGTCCTGCTTGCCCAGGTGGATGCGGCCGACGGTGTCGCCCATGTCGTCGGTCTCGACGTTCTTCTTGGCGCCCTCCTTGCCCTGGCGGTTCTTCTCGGCCTGCGTCTTGGGTCGACGCAGCGCCTGGTTGAGCATGTCGATCGACGCAGGTCGGCGGCGGCGCAGCTGGAAGTCGAACGACGGTCCGCACTCCTGCAGCTCCACACGCGGCGTCTTGGAACCGCTGGCAAGCAGCTGCACCGTATACACGCGGAAGTGGATCAGCGTGTTAGCGGGCGACGTGACGACGGCGGATGTGGACGGAGTCATGACGGTTCCGTTGGGCGTGAGGCCTGCCGCCTTGTACAGATCCGCGAGCGTATCGCCTCCGGACGAAGTTGTGCTGGTCTTGGCATTGGACTCGGAGGTGGGTGCGGCGGTGACGCAGATGACATGCTGCAGACCCGAGAGCGCGATCTGGTTGGTCTTGAGCTCCTCGCCGCGGTAGAAGTCGAGCAGCATGTTCTTGAACTGCTGGTAGGCACCCGTGGGGTCGTGTTCTGTCGCCTCGGCACCTGCAATCATGCTCGTCGTCGCATCCGTGGGCGTCGTAAACTGCGGCCCGCTAAAGTGGAAGAGCGGCCTCATCCCCACGCCGGGGCGCGCGACGCCCTTAAAGTCGTTGATGCTCTTTGCGTCGACGACGCCCATCTCGAGCATGTCGAGCACCTGCCCGTCAAACATGCGGATCCAGGTGAGGTTGTCCGGCCGCTTCTTCTGCGAGTTGCCAAACATGAAGAGCGAGGCATCGTTCTTGGCGCTCCAGAACTCGAACGACGACGTGTCCTCGAAGGGCAGCGCCTCGTTCTTCTTGTTGAACGCGATGCTGTCCGGCTTCTTGAGCAGGTTGAGCTCGGTGAGCGCAATGTTGAGCCGCGCCGACGAGTGCGGGCCCTTGACAAACACCGCCGTCTTGGCGGCCTCAAACTCGCGCGCCTGGCGCTTGTCGAGAGCGCGCTTGGAGCGTGCATTCTTTGGCTTGGCGACGCGGATCATGGTGTTGGATCGGGTGGATGTCGGTGACCAAGACTCGGTTGTGGTGGAGGAGAAGGTCGAGCGTCTGCGTTGGCTGCGCCCCACGTCGAGAAGCAAAGCGTGGCTCAGCTTTCCCTCTCGAAGGAAGTTTTCAAAATCGCTGCTGCTGCCGGCCAAAAAAAGTGGAAATCTTCGCAGGGGTGGAGAAAATACTGCTTACATAAGCTGTTTTTATCGCTGGGCCCTGCATTCCGAAATTTTTGGCGCCCAGCAGACGAGCGGCCAAAAAAAAAAGCTTCTTTCTTTCTCCACTTTGGAAGAGCGAGCTGAGCGCACCGAGCAATCAAGAAGGCTTTCCGAGCTTCCTCCTCATCCTGACCCGACACAACGGCTGCACAAGATGATCAGCGCGCTCCAGTGGATCGCGCGCGGCAAGAGCCTGCCGCATCCCAAGAAGTATGTGCTCGACGACGACGAGATGGACCGCGTGTCCAAGATGGCCAACGTGCGCTTCGAGGATGCCAAGGAGCAGCTTGAGCGCGTGCAGCGGGACATCGCGCGCGGCAAGGACCCCTTTGCCGCTAACGAAGGTGGCGACGACGATGGCGAGTGGCAGGACGATGAGGGCGACGACGACATGAAGGACGACGACGATGCCATGGCCGATGCAGCCACCGATGCCGCCAAGACGGATGCCAAGGAGGATCCGGACGATCTGTCGCGCTACAACCTCGACGAGTACGACGACGATGCGGCGGGGCAGGCTACTGCTGGTGCGTTCAGCAACATCCGCGGGCTGGCGGTGTACCAGAGCAACGAGGACGATCCGTACATCACCGTGCAGGAGGATGCGGAGAAGGACGAGGACGAGGAGCGCGAGGAGCTCGAAATCTACCCGACGGACAACCTCATCATCACGGCCAAGACCGAGGACGACGTGTCGCAGCTCGAGGCGTACGTGTACGCTGCCAACGATGCGAACCTGTACGTGCATCACGACCTAATGCTGCCTTCGTTCCCGCTGTGTCTCGAGTGGCTCGACTACGCGCCGGCGCGCGGCGGGGCGGACCAGAACACGCCCGCGAAACCTGCGGGTGAGTCGGGCAACTTTATCGCCGTCGGAACCATGGACCCCGAAATCGAAGTGTGGAGTATGGACGTTGTCGACGGCATGTATCCGGACGCCATCCTAGGGCGCAAGTCCGAGACGGACCAGCTCAACGCGCCGCTGGGAACGGGCAAGAAGAAGCGCAAACAGAGCAAGGCACGCATTGCCAACGACGCCTTCCACGTCGATGCGGTGCTTGGCTTGAGCTGGAACCCGGTTGCGCGCAATCTGCTCGCGTCTGCATCGGCGGACAGCACGGTGAAGCTGTGGGATCTTTCGCGGCCGCATACCTCGGACGACTCGACTGCATTCCGATCGTTCAACCAGCACACGGACAAGGTGCAGTCGGTTGCATGGCAGTGCAAAGCCGTGGGCGGATCTGGCCCGTCTTCCGCGAACCCGGCGGTTCTGTTGACGGGATCGTACGATAAGACGATGCGTATCTTTGACACTCGCACACCCGATGCTGCTGCTGTCGTCAAGATCGGCAGCGACGTGGAGAGCGTGGTTTGGAACGGATGGAAGTCGGACGAGTTCCTTTGCTCTCTCGAATCTGGAATTGTCCAGGCGTTTGACATCCGATCGCCTGCGAATGCAAGTTGGACCTTGCAGGCACACGATACCGCCTGTACGGCTGTTGACATCTCGCCACACATTCCTGGATGCATTCTTACCGCTTCGAGCGATCGATCCATCAAGCTCTGGAACCTCGCTACCAGCGCAGAGGCTGCACCGTCGAGTATCAGTCTGGTGCTGGCGCGCGATTTGGGCTTGGGCAAGATCTTTGCAGCCAAGTTCAGCCCCAGCGACCCCTTGACCCTCGCGGCCGCAGGAAGCGCCGGTCAGATGCAGGTCTTCAACGCCCTCTCCAACTCGGCCGTGCGCAAGACGTACGCCGACAGACTCAGGAAACTCACCGGCGAAGCAAAGGTCGACCTCGACGGCTCCGAACCCAGCCGTGGCGACGGTATCGTCCGTGTCGAAGACGACAGTGACGACGACGACGAAGGCGATGACATGCAGGACTAAACCTTCCACGCTCCCCTTGCCAATCTCCCTTTGTGATCCCATCACCCTCTCTCTGTGCGTGTGTGTGCTTTGACCGACTGAGGATTTGCAAAATGCCAACAGGGATACTAGTCTACAAGAACACGCAAAGCCGTGTATGCTCGGCAGCACTTCACCTCTCGTGGAGGAAAGACCTGAACTTCCATGGCGGCATCTTCTTTGTGCTCGAGTGCTTCTTGGTGCTCGAGTCGTCGTACGCCGTACCGGCCGGACTGACGAGCGCAAGCACGGGATGCGCACTGGGCACGTGCACCTCTTCGGCGTGCAGATGATTGGCCAGCAGCGTCGTCTGCCTCACCGCCACCTCGATGAGCGGCTGGCTCGACTTGCCTCCCCTCAACAGGATGGCCGAATTCACCTGCTCGGCAAGCGCCACTTTGCGGGAGCGGTGCAGGAATCTGCGCACGGGCGAATGCTCCACGTCGGTGTACGCAAGCAGCGCCGTCACCTGCTCGAGCTCCTTGAGGTACATGGCGCGCCAGAAGCTGGGCAGCTTCTGCGCGCTTGTGTAGAGGCCCTGCGCATACGCGAGCGCCGAGTGGAGCGCCGGATTGAGCGCTGCACTTGTGCCCGTGGCGGAGGTGGCCGAGCCATTGGAGGACGAGGTGGAGGGCGCTGGCGACGCTGCACGCGAGATGGCTGCGGCAGCGATACCGGGTGTGGTGGAAGCGAGCGAGGGGAATGCACCGGCAGGGCCCATCTGCGGCGATGCAGCCGATGCGGCGCCGTTGGTGGCCGAGGCGAGCTGGGAGGTGGAGGCAGAGCGGATCGCTTCGATGAATACCTGGATCTGGAGGTTGAGCAGCAGGTGGTCGGGTTCCATCGAGGTGGGATTGGCGGGGAGCACCTTTTCGCAGCCGGTGGCGGTGGTGGTGGTGGTGGTGCTTGTTGTGCCGGCAGCTTTGGATCGGCTCGACTTTGATCCGTTCGAAGCGGCAGTGCTGGTGGCAGTACTTGCGGTTGGAGCGGTGCTGTTGAGGACGGTGGGGAAGTGAGTATTGATCATGTCCATGGCTTGACGGATGTGGCCTGCGATGATATAGTCTTTGATCTGCTTGCGCGCCCGCACACCTCTAAGGTCGTCGGCGGTGAGATCGGGGCTGATGTCGACGTCAAGGTCGTCTTCTGCATCATCGATGTCGGATGCCAGCTCGGCATCTGCGAGTTCATCCTGTGCTCGAGATTGATCTGGGCGGCTGGCGCCGTTGGAATGGCCATTGGTATGGTCTGTGTGCGCAGCAGGGTGTTCAGACGTGGTTGGGAGGAGGTTTTCGACTTCAATCTCCATGCTCGAGTCGTCGCGCGAGAGTGGAGGTGCGGAGAGGGGATGCGCCTGACGTGCGGCAGCGCCGTTCGTGGCAGTGGTGGCTGTGGCGGATGTGGAACGGAAAGCAGGCTCTGGAGGCGAGCCGGTGGAAGTGTCTACTCGAGACGACGAATCAGAGGCTTGCGATGTGGAGGCGGCAGCCGGACGTGCGGGCAAATCGGATGCATAGAGGTCGCCGATGATGCCGTCCTTTGCGAATGCGACGGCGGTGTCGGTGTAGCAGTGATGAAGGAGGTAGTTGAGCACGAGCTTGCGCAGGTTGGCGGGCGAGGTGAGGTCGACATCGTCCGAGGATGCTGATGGGGATGCGGCGGGTTGGGTGCGTGTTGGGTCTGGCTTCGGCGGCTGCATGATGGACGAGATGCAGCCCGAGAGCGCGGTCGGTTGGTTCGTTGGGAGACGGCGAGAATGCGAGAATGCGACGGAGGAGGTCAAGAGGAGAGAGAGATGGTTGCGTCGGGGTGAGGAGCGGCACAAGGGCCCATGCGGCAATTGGCGAGCGGGGCGGCGATTCCGTGATTGCGAAGTGCAGGTGGAGCAGCGCACTCTCAGTCACCCGCTACCCCAACCGAGCCCTTGGAGAGCGAGCCTTTTTGGAGAGGGGGCGCGCTTGAACCCTGGCTGCAGCCAGCAAGGCTGTGACCCCGACGCGCGCTTAGCAGCAGCCTCTCAAGCCGCTGAAAATCCGACCTGCGTTGGCAGTGCGTGAGTGTGTGACGGTGTGGAGTAAGCCAGGCCCGATCCCCCTCCTCCAAGTCACAAGTCACACTTCGGCTTTGCTATCGGCGGATCAGCCCGGACGACAGCCTAATCGCATGCGGATCTGCCGACTGATGGCTGTAGCTGCTGCAATCCCCCCATCAAGTGTCTGGTCATCTTGCTCCATCAATCGGGCGGTAACTCAGCCAGCCAGCCAGCCAGCCAAAACGCGTCGCCGCTCACGACTCCACTTTTTGGCTGCTGCGTCGGCGCGAATTTGGCGCGTCCGCTTTGGCTCGGTCGGCTGAGAGCGAGACTTTTGAAGTGAGTGTTGGGCGGTGAGTGCAACACTCGAGTAAAGCTGGGTCCCCCCCCCCCCC